TCTGAACAAGGAAACACTTCAAACAACTTTTTGGTTTCTAAAACCCATGCTTCGGCCTTTAGTGGCTCAAGGCCTCCTTGAAACGTTGGTGGCTTCATCTTGTTAAACTTCTGTGTCAAAGCAATTACATCATCATTGAGATTTAGTTCTGGCTGTACTGGAGGAGGTGAGAGCTATTGGTTCTGCTGTTGTCTTAGGGCCTCAGTCAACAGTTCAACCATTCTTTCCAACCTTGCCATTCTTGCTTCAGATGATTCAGATTTATCAGCATTTCATGCATTCTTTATTCCACTATATGCAATACGGCAATAATAAACAAAGGAAATTGCTTACTTAAGCACATTAGCACATTAGCACACATATTCATATCATGGCCACACACACTTTCTCATGCTCAAGCAATGCCCTAATTACTTTTCTAGGACATCCTATAGCTCATTTGGACATGTGTGTGTGGTATAACTCGTGCTCTGATACCACTCTGTCACGACCTAAACTCGCCCCTAAGGGTTTAGCATCGTAACCGGCCAGTAACCCGTGATTACCAAAGGCCTGCTTAATAGTAATGACAATAATATAGAGTAAGGGGGCTGGCGGAAGCCAAACAGTAAATAAAAGATGTCCAATGAGCTGTGAAAACTTGAATGGAAAAGAATTTTATGAACACATTCACATATACATATATAAACACATATTATGCAGGTTAGGGATTCAACCCCTACACCATAACTGTACAGTCAAAAGTCTTATTCAGTCAATACATAACAGAGACAAAAAGGGTAAATCTGAGGCACCCCAAAACAGCCTTGGCTTAAGAAGACTCGGAACCTCGAAGTGAGGCACAATGGTTGGCTTGACAAAACATGAGCTTAACTTGACGCTCTTAGCTTCGGTCCGGTGACTGGCCACCTACACACATATATAAACAGTGAGCTAAAGCCCAGTGAATAACAACTGTGTAAAGATGTTAAGAATGGATGTCCTTTCAGTAATTAAAACAGTCATTTGCATCAGTAGATTAGTTATTCAATCAGTGGCTCATATTTCATGCCATATCAGTCAATTAGAAATCATAGCAGTCATACGTGGTACATCCAATAGCAGAACAGTACAGTAGGTCTTAATAGACCGAACAGTCAGTTGATGGCCATCAAACAGTAAACAGTAGTAGTTCCAAATATTGGAACTGACAGAGATCTCTGTAACAGTAGCAGTAATAGTAACAGTACAGTAGCAGTAACAGTAACAGTAACAGTAAGTTTCTATGGATGTCACGAGTACAGTTTACAAATAGGACAAACATTCATTCAGTAAACAATGTTATTTCGGAAAGCAGTACAGTCAATCGTTCAGAAAATAATCATAATTGAACATATCTTTACAACATTGTTACTTACAGGTTACAGGGCTATAGGCAGGCTAATCGGCGTCCTCGGGTGCCAACCCTACACAGATGCAGAACGAACACACACTAATTACACACTCGGGATTAACAACTTAGCCCCCATTTGGCTTGGTGTGGTTCTGTAATATTATCCTCATTACGATGCCTTAAACATGGCCCAAGAATGCCTAAGATGGAATGAGGATGCAAAAATGTACTAACTTTTCAAAATTTGCTGAAAACAGGGGTCTCGCTCGAGCGTGGTTTTATTCGCTCGAGTGAGCTTACAAAAACAAAGGGGTCGCTCGAGCGTAGGCTCCCTCACTCGAGCTGTCTATAAAAATGCAAAAAGTACTGGTTGCTGAAATCCTCCGCCCGATGCTCGCTCAATGCTCGCTCGACACAGTTCATCGCTCGAGCGTAGGTCTCGTCGCTCGAGCGTGCGTCTGCACACGCAAAAACCTGAGAGCTTGCAATTTACGCTCGAGCCAGCATTCCGTTGCTCGAGCGAGAGGCTGAGAACAAAGGTGGTCGCTCTAGCGTGGAAGCCAAAATCTAGGTTTTCCAGATTTGCTTCCAAAGCTCAAACCAAGAATCAAACATACCAAAACTCATCCTTTTGGGCCAATTTTTTGAAAAACACTAAGAAACTCATAATATAACATGTTTTGAAGATCATTTATAAAATCAAAGCCCAAAAGTATGTCAATTGAACACAAATCCAACTCAAAATTCAAGAACATGATGTAAATATGCCATGGATGTGTTTATTTGAATTCAAAGCTTCTAACACATGATCAAATGCAAGATTGAACTCTAAAACATGGTGAATTCTTGGACCACAACTAAAATATGAACATGCATGTAAGAATTTCATGAAAAATAACTTCAAACTCTATAATATGGACATGCATGCATGAATTCACTCTCAAATCAACACTTTAAGCTAATTCTTGACTCAAATCACCAATTTTTCCATAAACCAAGCATGAAACAACTTAAATTCATAATTAAGGGAATGAATTTCCTACCTTAATTCTTGAATTCCATGTGTGTTAGCTCAAAAATGCAATTCTCCTTCAATTCCTCTAAATTTTCAAGCCAATCTCTAGATGAATTCAATTCTCCCCTATCTCTCTCTCTCACACGGTTTGGTCTTGAAGATGCCAAAGATGATGTGTCAAATGTGTGAATAATGAGGAGCAAAACAATAGTTTTTGAGGGAGCCTACTCAAGGGTAATTATGTAAATAACTTACATCCATTTAATTTAACATTGTTTATTCTAATTTAATCATTCTAAATTGAATTTTAATTAAACCTACCATAAAATCATATAAATCCTAATTAGTATATAACACTAACCAATTTCTGAATCAGTCGCCGATAAGGCTTTCACTTCGCAATTCGAAATTAAAACATGAACAGACCATTCAATGACAAACAGATAGAAATGCATTTAAAACAACACACTCATGTAATCAATTTAGGATTTCATCCTAATCAATTACTTATCATGCTTAATCACAATTTAACGCTAATCAGAGGTGAGGGTTGTCATAGTAATCCTAAGTCCAATAGAGCTAGGCTTTTATTGGGACTAGGATTGTATTGGCTATAAAAGGGAGGCACTCCCATGGGCCTAAAGTACACAATTTATATTCTGAATAGTGAGTTAAACATTTTTGCTATCTTTGAGAGATAAATGACTTGATCATCGGAGTGCCCCCGGGTGGACGAACCACCGCCGTAATCTCTTTTTTCTGTTGCAGGTCGTTCGGGTTTAATCTATTCTGCCGGTGCTCTCTAGCTAAGTACTAATTTGACAGTGTGGTCGGAAATTGACACACGCATTAACTATAATACTTTTATTATAATTATAGTAAAATTTTGTACTAGCATGTGTTATTATTTTTAAAAAGCCAATTTTCTTGTTGTTACTTCAGATCCATTTCAATTCATTTGAACAAAATTTAACATACTTTTTTTTAATAGAAAAAATAAAAAATCATTCAACTATATAATTTATATATACACGAGCAACCATTAAAAAATATGCACTGTTATTTTAATCATTTATTACCCAAATTTAAAAAAGTATTCATTTGAACAAAATTTAACCCTTTTTTTTAACAGAAAATATCAATAATTATTTAACTATAAAATTTATATACACAAGCAACCATTAAAAAATATGCACTGCTATTTTAATCATCCAACCATTCACTGCCCAAATTCAAAAAGACAATCATTTAAACAAAATTTAACTCTTTTTTTTTTGAACAAAAAAATATAAAAAATCATTCAACTATGAAATATAGCTATTAAGAAAAATAATGATATAAGAAAATATAGAAAGGCGGAGCGAATATATTTATGAGAAGATGGATACAAACTACCAATTGTAGACATGATGAATTAAAAGTCTATAGTGGTAATTAATGATCACTACCATTCATAATTGTTATAAAAAATAATATTATTGTTCTTAGATCATCTCCAGCAAAGAATATGTCAATATCATGTTCTTAGTTGCATTTTGAAATTGTTTTGGGGTTTTTGTTTAAAATATTTAAAAAATTTATTAATTTTTAAAAATATTTACAAATTAAAAAAATATTTTCTGGATTTTTTTTAAAAAATATTTCAAATAATTTTAAAATATTTAAATGAGGTAAAAAATGAAATCTATTAGTTATGATTTCGTAAGACAACAATAGCACAAGATTGTAGTTGTAGTGTTATTTTTTCTTTGAAAATCAGTATTGGTTCTGCAAAGACAGAGAAGGTAGAGACGAAACTTTGCAAAATCAAACTTTTTCAAATATATCAGGGTTAATCAGTCATTTGATGAGTTAGTCCAAATTTTGGCTTAGTCTCCCAATTTATATCCTACCCGTATCTGTGAGAATGAATAATCTATTATATGTGGGATACCATATCTGAATAGATTATTAATCCATATTTCAATTTTTTAACCAAAGATTGGATTAATAATTTTATTAAACTATTAGTCCAATCTCAAGCACATGTCCGTTCAAACAAACGTGGCCTAAGATTAATAATCTAATAGATTACAATCCCTTTTATCCAGTCCGTTGAAATAATATAACTTTTGGTGTAAATATCGATTTTTAATAAAATTAATATTTTTAGAATTGTCTCATCAAGATCTATCAAATAAGATGTATGCTGACTATGAAAATTCTTTTTTTTTTAAATTATTACTGTTGAAATTGATGTAAATAGTAATAGTAACATGTTACTTTGGTAATATTGTCCAAGAAAGAAAAAAAAAGGTATTTTACTTTATCTTTATTCAATTATATATTTTTTTCTTAGAAAATTTATGAAAAATAATAAATTAAACTATGTTCTTCACCAAATAAGGATATAATGGTGGAGTTTTGACTTTCCCATCTCAAACCAAACAAACTAAACGAATTTGGTGTGCAAATATAGGCCCGAAGATAATTGGGTAAGCCCAGTCCATACCCACAAGCCCATCACACACCTGTCCAAAGACCCGTTGACCTACGAATCCATCTCATCGACGTTGACTTGCACTGTTAGTGGATGATAAGGCTAGCCTCTGAACCGTCCGATGATAGATAGTCCAATCACAATCACAGCAGAGCATTCTCAGATGTAGTCAGCTGAAACACTACATCGCTGCTCCAACCCCAATCCAGTGACATCTTCGCCAATCATATTCCGAAAGCACAGAAAGAAGCGAATATTCGAATTTAGGGCTCAAATTATTCACATTTCCTACCGTTTAATTCCACCACAGAACTCAAGCAAACTCGATCTCTCTCGCGAGACCGTTTGGTTCTTAATTCTTTGCTTAGGTAAGTCGCTTTTCATTTAAATTTCTCTGTATTTGGTTTATATATATACATTATTACATGAATTTATTTATCTAATTGTATGTATATATGATTGTTTGTAGAGAACCAAATCGTATTATGTTGTTTTCTATATGTACAATACAATTTGTTTTTTGAGTTGTAGTTGTTGCTGCATGAGGTTTTGTTTGATATACATGGATTTAGATCTGTGTATGTAATGATAACAGTTGTAGTAGTAAATTTGCCAATTATTCCATAAGATTTGTATATGGGCGAAATAAGTAGTTCAAAATGTTATCTCAATTGACCAATTTAGGGAAAAAAATTCCTTCTTTTTTTTTTTTTTGGGTCGTAGTACATATAATGGAAGAACATGATTTTAGGCTATGGCGCTGTTTGGGAACAAAGTTTTTTGGTTTTTTTTCACTAAAAGACAAATTAGTTACAAAACCAAAAAAAACTAATCCAAACAAAATATCACATCAAATCTCATAATCATTTTACTTTTTCTCTCACAAAAATCATATCCCACCACAAAAAAACCCAACTATCTTCCCAAATATAAAATTTTTTTCCTCCAATAATATCTTACAACTAAAAAAACCTACAAAAAAACCCACTTCCCAAACACCCACATAATTTTATAACGTGTAAAATGCAATATTAATTTCTATCTATACAAAATGCCAAAAACAAAAAAAAAACTCACAAATTTATATTCAATGTATATAATTTTAAAAAATATGATCATAATACAATAGAATATGTATTGCTTACTCCAACATTTGGCACAACTCAGAATTGTTGATCAACTTTTAAAACTGAGGATGTTGATATTGATTCTGCAATTAGAATTTCAAATGCGATTTTCTTGATATGTGAAGTCATTGGGATAGAACTTTATTTGCAAGTTAATAGCTTTAATTTTGAAAGCCCTATAAGTTATAACCATGACTCCATTGTATTCTCCTTAAACCAATTGTTCAATTTTTGCAAATATCTTCAATTCTTGAAAGATTGATAAGGAAGAAGAAGAAAAGAGAGAACTGAAACAGATAAATAAAAAGATAAGGGAGAACTGAAGCAGTAGAAGTTTTGAAATAGATATGGAGAAGAGAAAGAAGAAACCATAAATGGAGATCGAGTTGAAGAGAAAAAAGAAAATTCATAACAAAAGAATAATAAGAAGGGAAGATGGTGAACTGAAACATAAAAGAAGAATAAGAGAGATAGAGAGAGTACCACACCTAGTTCTGGATGATGGAGGTCCAAGTTATTGCAGTTACTTCATTGTGCTTTTTTTTCCCCAAAAAAAGGTTTGCCCTAAATTGATTTCTTCTACGTGGTAAATGAGTTTTCAGCTGTAGCTATGAGAGCATCTTATGGGGCAGTATAAAATTTCTCAAAAAAATCCTGGGAGGTAAAACCTTTATATAATTAAAAAAAATTCATAACTACTACTACTATGTTTAAGGAGTTCTTTTAAAACTTTGGGTTGGTGTTTGTCACCCCCCTCCTCTCCCAATTCTGTCAATCCCTGCTAATGGGCACTTGGTTGTAGAATAACATGCAGCCTGAGAGTGTTTTTTTTTTTTTTGATTCAATTTTTTTAAGGTATTACCTCTTTTCTTGCACTTGTTAATTTGGACTTCAGTGTCTAATCCTCTGGGTGCAATCCACCTGCACATGGGTGAGGTAATTTTTAAGATAGAGCATGATAAGGCGGAAAAATAATCTGTACACGTGTGTATATATTTTTATGTATATGAACTAATGAACTAGTGAGAACGCATTTAGATACTAGAGAGGCTTAGATTAAGTTTGGTTTTGGTTCTTTGTGACCAAGCCATGAATAGAGCCAGAGAACATCACTGTTAGTTTTCTGTTTGTATCTAGTTTTTTGCACTATACAAGTACCAAGTAGAAAGTTTTATCTATGGATTATAATTGTTAATTCTGCAAGTTTAATTCTGGCTTGTTTAATCTGGATGCTGGTTATACAATGAACATATCAATATCATGAGTCTAAGATGTATACCATGAACATGTGAGGTTTTGCCCTTGTTGAATGGAAGGTGATGGAGCCAAATCAAGAAATGGCTTTCATTAGAGAGAGAATATCCCAAAATGGGTACAAGAGTCTCATACTCTGAAATATTCAATATCAAAATATTATAAATTGAATACTAGAGGGGCCTAACCACCTATTTATAGGATAAAAGACCTCTAACTAACTCTTATGACACTAAAACATAACAACCATGCTAATTCAACTACATCAGAAGGTGTTCCAAATAAAGCAGTGATTGGTTAGATTGCGAAAATATTCCTCGTTAGGGTATAATAGGTGATGAATTGTAAAAGGAAAATTTGAATGAAACAGTTCTTTGAAAATTCTTTACTGTTACTTCATATTATGCTTTTCCGTTTCATGTTTTTTTTTTCTTTTTTCTTCTTTTGTTTGCTTTACTTACTGGTTTTATCGCGAGGTATAGGTATAGTTATAGAGAAGAGTTCCTCAGTTGGTTGTCCATTAGATCCCTGATACTTATTAAAAAAACAAAAAAGATCCCTTCACAACAAATTAGTTTTATAAAGACCACTTGCAGCTCTATTGTTTGTTCTGATAAAACTATCAAATTTAACTTGCTCTGTAGATGAGTTGATAGATACTGCTTAAGCTAATAGATATTGTCTTTGTTTCATTTTATAATTTTGTTTGACACAAGTATCAACGTTAGCATAGTTAATTGCTTCAAGTAGAGAGTGTGGATGTTATTTGGAGAAAGCTTTATGAACTGAAGTACATCGATTGAGATTTTCCATTTTTAAACTAGTTATAAATCCTTCCGTACCCCATAAATGTATTCACACAAAGTGGCATGATAAGTTTAATCAACTTGATTTAGTGTTTTGTTTGACTTTCATAACATGCAAAAGCTTGTGAATTTGAACTATCAGGAGTTTTAATTTGAATGCAGGATCTCAGGGAACATATTACACCATCCATATTGAAATCATTGCTTCATTTGATACACAGAACATGAAGTATTTGGAATACACTCCCCTTGACCGGTAATTGTTTTACTGTCCAGTTGAAACCATTATTGTCAATACCTTACCAGCCAATGTATCGTTTTTGACATCGGTACAATACATACTGGTATTGGTACGTTTCGGTGTACCATTTTGGATTTATCGCTATAGTAATTACGTACTTACCAAGTGTTTTAGATTTATAAGGGTAAAAATAAAGAAGTTGCTCGTCAAAAAAGGAAGAAAAAATAAAAATAAATAAATAAAGGAAAGAAAAAGAATAAACGTTCCTAAATATACTAGTTACTTACTAATAATATTTTTCCAGTTTTCACAAAATAAAGAGGGAATTAGTGAAACATTCCTGTCCAACTTTTGATAGTAAGAGAGATCCAATATGTTTTTTCTTATTAGTTAAGATCCCTTAATAATATCATTAGCGAAATTTCAGCTAGTCATAGAGAAATTTAAATTTCTCTGTGAAATTTCTCTTTGAAGTGCTAAAACTTCTCTATGAAGAGAAATTTCCCTTTGCTGAAATTTTTCTGTGTCAAAATGTATCTGTGAAAATGTTGAAGGACTCAAACTACTATGAAAATATTACATGTCCTTTATCTTATAAAATCTTAATATCAAGGACCTTAAACTAAAACCCCCTAAAATAAATCACTTCTAATTTTAAAAAGCATATTACTGTTAGTATTTAATAGCTTGTAACGCTTAATAGCACACAATGCATGGAAAGGTAATATGATTTGTAGCGTAATTTATAATTAGTTTTTGCAACAATTTGAAGCACTAGAACCCATACAGTTTGTATACTTAACTGATTAATATTTTGAGATATTAATAAAAAAAAATTATTTTTATTTTACTATGCTAAAAATGACTAAATACTAATTATCTTGGTGCATATCAATACTAGTAAAAAAAGACCGTTACAACTCTGTACAACGTAATATTGATCGTCGAAGCCCAAAAAATTGGCTTGAACGGAATTAAACCCTTAAACCCTAAGCCCTAAATGGAATTAAGCTCCCTTTGTATTGTTTTATTACTAGTATATATGTACTGACTGATATGGGATGATTTTCACAACACTGATTGAAACAAAAGCATATTAATACATTTTCAGTTCCCTCATCAGATTCCCTTTCATCCCATTCTTTTCGTCCACTATGAAAATGCTAACTTCCTAAAGTGATATGCATGGAATGTGTTCACACCAAACTATTATAGTTTAAAATTTTTCAAATAACCCTTTATTTTACTATATTAAATGCTTTCACACACCAAAGAAGCACATCATTTTTGAGAAGGTTGTCTGTCTATGTCTGACACCGACACTTGTCAAACACTTCCAACCAAGGTTCTGAAAAGCGGTTGCAGTCGCCGTAACGGTAGTGGTGGCACGGTTGCGGTTGCAGGGTATAAAGGCCGTAACGTAACGGTTGTGGTAACCGGAACCGTGAATTTTTTTTTATTTTTTGCACATTTTGAAAAAAACTTACCGATATACATATTTTTTTTCCATGATCATATTTATTGGGTTTAAAATAAGTATTGATTAATTTTTGTAAATTTTTAAGTATGATCCAACATATTTCATATTTTTAAATCACTATAAACTGAGTTTTTTTACATTTTATTTTAATAATTAATGACTTTATATTATACAAAAAAATCAGTCACTAACTATTATATATAAGATAAACAATGACAAAAGTAAGAGAATAAATAAGAGCCTAAATATATATACCCAATCAAATAAAAAATGACCACATTTATTATTATTATTATTTTCAAACAATATATATATATACACAAACAAAATAGTTGAGTGATAGCAGCTGAATAAAATATCATAGGTTATACAGTTTCAACAAATCAATAACATGTTCTTCATCTTCACTCTTCTCTCTCTCTATCTCTTGCTCCTCCATCTTCTTTTTTTATCTTCCCTCTTCTCTCTATCTCTCTTCTCTAATTTGTAGCTTTTTTTGTGTGTTTTTTTCAAAAGAAGCAGTTTGGAACCGTTACGTAACAGTGCGTAACAGGCCGTCACAGCTGTTACGACACTGTTACAACTGCTACGGCAGTCACTACGGCCGACACACCTGTGAATTTCAATCACACTGCAAAAGCGGTTGTAACGGGTGGCGATAACCACCACAACTGTTACGTAATGGTTGCGGCCGCTTTTTAAAACCTTGCTTCCAACACTCATCACATACTTCTCGACACTCATCAGACAGTTCACGATACGTGTTGGATACATGTCCAAACAATATAATATTATTTGTTTTGTATTTTTTTTTTAGACTAGGATATATTTCTGATACATGAGAGACATACATGTCTATCGTTTAGACACTTGTAAAGCATAATACAAGTTTGAACAAAGTAATTTAGGATCTAATGATAAAAGAAAAAACAATATAGATTTATACCATCATCCATTATTCTTTACTAGGGGTGTGCACGGGTTGAGTCAGCTCGGTTTTATCATAGAACCATCACTCGAACAAGCCTGCTTCGGGTAGAGAAATGTTCATCCGATTTCGCCCAAGGTAATGATCGAAACCGTGCACATCGGGTGTCCGGTTCGGTTGGCTGTTTTCGGTCGAGTGATTTTCATTCACCATTTCAATTTTATGACTTCTATTCATCTCGCCTACAAAATCAATGCCAAACAAATATACACAAAACAAACTCACCCACATACTATACAAATCTACCTCTCTTACATACACACTAGATATGATAGAAAATAGTGGACAAAATTGAAAATAGAGAGGAGAAACTTACCTTTCTACCAGGGCACAATGTCACCATCGTCCTTACCTACTGTGTATCTCTTTAATCGACGTTCTTTTGCAAAAAAAGTTTCAGATTCGGTAGATTTATAAGCTAAAGATTAGGATTTTAGTGTTCGATCAGGTAAAGAGAGAGAGGGAGAGAGAGACGAGAAGGAAGATTAGGATTTTAGTGTTCGATCAGGTAGGATTTTAGCATTTTGTATTCTCCATTCTGTATTCATATTATGCATTCAGCATTCTGTATTCCCTATACATTCTGTATTCTGATGGCTATTGCCCTGTTTTCCACAGCTATGGGTTTACGCATATTTTTCGTCGCTAGCTCCGGAGCTCAAGGTGAAGGTGCCTCTTGTGATTCCTTACTCTCACGTATTTGAGGGCCGGTACCGGTCGAGGGCTCGGGAGACTCTGCCCTACCTGCGGCAGTTCTTTGATACGGTGCGGGCGACCGAGGTAATTCAGAACTCTCAGTTCTTCATGTTTTCAGTTTTGATTCATCTTGCATATTTACGATATCTAATCAGCACATGCACTGGTTATCCGCAGATCACTTGGCAGCCCTGGGCGCCCTTGGGAGGAGATATCCGTTTCCGATTCCCTGGGGGGTGGGCCTCTTCTCTATACAAGATTTTATTTGAGGGGCCAGTTAGTAGGGCCTGGTTTTTAGGAGATCGCTTCATGCGTCAGACGATGGGCGTCCCCGATCAGAGTATTCCTTCAGTACCTCCAGAGGACATGCGGTCCACTGAGGGACTCACTCTCGAGGAGGTTGACGTCGCTATGTTGGGTACTAATGCGATTCTGCACACGGAGGAGGGGGAGTACGCGACTTACCGCCATACGTACTTGACGCCACCACTGACAAGTATCAGTACTCCTGCGAGGAGGGCTGCTGGTGCATCATCGTCAACTCGAGCCCGGGCTGCAGATGCTCCTTCGACTAGCAGGGCCGGCATATCGAGGAGTGGGGCTAGACAGATTCCCCCGATTCCCCCGACTTATCAGCACGCTGGGTGGCCAGATCTTCCGACTGAGTTGACAGGATGGCGATACGGGACATCTTACCCGATCCCATTGGAGCCTCCATTGCCTAATCACCGATACGTCAGAGACCCTGACTCGTCACCGGTATGCTTTACAGTTTTGATTTATCACTCAGATATTTGGACGTTCATTCATTCACTGATAACTTACACTTGCATCTGCAGCCTCCCAGCGAGTATATTGAGGGGTTGCTCAGGTTGGTGGCCTCACTCGAGGGCATGGTCTTGCGGAGAGAGACGCAACTGTTCATCATCGGTGTTTCGGTACTTTTCAATTTTCTTGCATTTATCATACTTCTGATGACATGCTGAATTTGACCATTTCACTGCATTGGTTGGCTGTATGTGTGGAGCACATCTGATACACACCACATTCATACACCGTATCTGCATACACCCACTCTATGTAGCTTTCTTGTCTCTGCATCTGGTATACATATTGGCTAATGTATTCAAATTGTCTTCTTTCTAAGATGCCACCGCTACTGGTTGGGCCATCCTGGCCTTCTCGAGGAGCTGGGAGAGGGGATTCGACTCGTAACCGAGGCAGGCGTAGAGCACCTAATAGAGATGATCCGGAGTCCAGCGAGGAGGAGGAGTCTGCACATCCTCAGTCAGAGACATCTGCAGGCAGAGAGGATGACTCTGGATCCGGTTCTGAGGGCGGAGGTGATGCCGAGGAGGATTCCGAGGGCGGCGACTCCGATTCAGATGGTGATGGTGCAGAGGTTGCTCAGTCGAAGAGGACGAAGAGGGCCTCTCAGTCTTGCTCTTGATAACACTGATGCAGATGTTCCTGCTTTGTTTTCTTTTATTACTAGTAGTTGTAGCACATCAGCTTTTAGGTAGTTTTATTTTCTTTAAAACTTGTACCCTGTTGTAAGATGTTGTAAAAAAGAAGTTATGATGGAATGAAACAGCTTTTTGTTAAAAAAAGTGTTGTATTTTGTATTCTTAGCATCGCATCGCATCATTTTGCACAAAAATGAGATTGAATGAAAAATGAGCATTGTATATCACCAAGTCAGGTCATGAACCGACGCAACAAACTAAATAACTTAACTCGCTAAGAAACAACAAAAATTTCAGCAAGTTTACAACTCGATAAGCAAAATACGACAATGTTGATAAACAGAGAGTAACAACTCAATGTACAAGACTCGACGACTTGATAAGCAAACTTAACAACTCGATAAACAAAACTTAAACAACAACTCGATAAATAAAAAACAACAACTCGATAAGCAAATGCACTTCGGACAAACTGAGCGACGGAACGCACTCGAAACAGAGGTAGACTCGGACCTTCAACACTCTCAACACATGAAAATGCTAGGAGCTCCCTTCTAGAGACTAGGAAAAGACCAAAGACCAACTTTCCTCCATGGCCGACCACCAGAGAAGGCTGGTCGACCAGCTTTCTGCCTTGGAGAACAATGGGTGGTCGGCCGACCACTTGGCCCGGTGACCTCCAAATTTTTGACACATGTCCTCCAAACAGTGCCTTATCCTCTATAAAAGTTCCAGCTTCGTGATTCTTTCATTCCATCTCAGTTTTGCATCAAAATGGAGGCATTTCTCATCCAAAATCTCACAGCTTGGATTGCTACCTTAGACAGCTCGGAAAAATTGAACTTCCGGGGCTTCAACATAAATGCACTATTCATGCTGAGTCGCACTCCGCTACATCTTCCGTTCGTCCATGCCGTGGCGAAGTTTTGGAATCCGGTAACACGTCTTTAGCTTTGGCGGGAAAGAGGTGTGTCTACCTTCGAAGATTTCCAAGCTTTGATGGAATCTGAGCGCAACGAAGAAATCTTGCCCCAACTTCGCTTCGGCCATGCCCAAGCCTTAAGACGAATGTGTGGGCTCACTATGCATATGCACGACGTTCGATCTTTGATTTGTGACAGAATGTTGGATATTCCGAGTTTGATTTGTCGGTTTTCCGATGCCAGTGACCGCGGTAACCATCATTGGCAAGGCTTTCGACGACATGCCCTTTGTTTGTGCATGCTATCTTATTTCTTGCTTGCCTTCGGCTCCGGAGGATCTAGTGTCCGGTTGATCGAGGTTGCCCAAGGCGTAAGGGAGGGCAAAAGCTACATTGCCATGTCATTGGCCGAGACATTGATGGGCTTGGATGCTTTTCATCGCCGAGAGACGACCAGATTTGCAGGGAGTCCACTATTGCTGCAGGTAATGTTTCCCACCTTATCTCACATGTATATTGCTCACATCACTCGGCCCTCAAGCTCGATTTTTCTCACAAAGCCCTTTTCTCACTTTTCTCTCATCGTACATCTCTCTATTCTTTAATCTCTCATTTTTCATCCCTTCCCAAGTGTGGTTGATGGATAAGTTGCAGGTTGTGGACTCTTGCCTAGCATACTCAGCTCGCGGCTACTTTTTCCGACGTCGTCTAGTTGATGCCCTAGATGAGGGATGGTGGTTCGATTGGATGTGCAATTTGTCCGCAGACCGCATTGCTTGGCGCTGTCCTTGGCTCAATCTACCGACAATGAGCTACAGTATGTCTCGCCAGCCTGGGATTCAGTTGATCGGCCTGACACACTGTGTGTTCTACTTTCCTTTCCAGCTCCAGCTCCAGCGCTAGTTCGGCCATGATCAGATTTGCCCGGCAGAGGGGATAGAATACCCCGCTGCATTTCTGGTCCGAGGCGCACAGCTAGCTCGGTATGCCACGGCATGGAGGACGAGAGAGCTTCTGGCCCCCGCTCCCACTTTCAGTTGCACCGTGTCTGATGAGTGCATAGATTGGCTCAATGAGGAGGCACAGATTGCCAGCTTCAAGAGGGGGCGCAGGAATACCTGATCTATCTATGCCCCGAATTTATTGCTTTTAATCAGAACTTTCAAGTTTTCTGTATGAATGTAATCAAAAACAACTTCAATTTGTATGCAAGAGCAAGAGAACTCTGTATTGAAATCAATAAAATTGAAGGTTGTGGGTACTGAAAATTTTCCGTTTGGTCCAAAAATGGTCTAAGTTGTAAATGATTAATTTGAGCAAAATTAACTTTTATTAAAACTTTTCAAAACCATTTTCGATATGGATCAGAACTGGACGCGCCTGAGATCTGCCACTGAGATGTTCAACCCCGGATCCCAGCAACTGGAAAGTTGCCCCTAGTCTGAATAGCACTGCACCGGAGATCACAACCGAAGCTCTTGAATGCTGAATAGACAAAGATGACCGAGATGATCAAATGGACAAGGTTGATCGGGAAAAAGTTTATGACTGGACTTCAGGATGAAGTTGCCTACGTATCCCAAAGATAGGAATCAAGCCTTACGTAGTTCGACTCAGGTTCACTCGTGTATTAACCCTCACCTTTTACGCTCTAACTTTTGCCATGGCCGCCCTTTGCGGGTTTTCAACCTTGCGAGCTCAGTTTTTATAATTTCAAATTTTCTGTGCTCTAACTTTTGCCTAGATCGTTTTCGGCCTAACGAGCCTCTCATGGGTAATATTATTTCAATTTGTCCATGTTGATCGGCTGTGAGAACTCTAGACCATCTAGGTCCATTAAAATGATAGTTTCACCCGACCACATAAACTTGATGATGTAAGGACCAGTCCAATTAGGTCTGAACTTGCCCTTAGGGTCGTAGATGGGAGCTCGGTTGTCTTTGAGCACCAAATCTCCTTCCTTCAAATTCCTGGACTTGACTTTCTTGTTGAAAGCCTTGGCAGTTCTGCGTTGATAACCTTGAACATGGTACAGTGCTTTCAGTCTTCGTTCATCAAAGAGCATGAGTTCTTCAAATCTGCTCTGCTGCCAATCTGCCTCGGCTATCTATCTAACACTCAGCCAATACTCATAATGACGGAACCTCAATTTCGATAGGTAGAACGGCCTCCATCCCATAAACCAATGAATACAGAGTCGCTCCAGTAGAAGTTCTAATTGAAGTCCGGTAGCCCCACAGAGCAAACGATAGCTTATCTGGCCAGTCCCTATAGGTTTCCACCATCTTCTGTAAAATATGCTTGATGTTCTTGTTGGCGGCCTCAACTGCTCCATTGGTTTGCGGCCGATATGTAGATGACTTTAAAGCCACGTTATATTTCTCCAACAAGTCAATCAATTCCTTCTTGAAGTGGGAATCATTATCTGAGATAATCTTGTTCGGGACCCCATTGCAACAGATGATGTTGTTCTTGATAAACTTTGCAACGTGCGGCGCCTTCAACACCGCATAAGATTAGGCCTTGACCCACTTTGTGAAATAGTCTATCGCGATCAGAATGAACTCATGCCCATTAGACCCATTTGGAGTGACAGCCCCGATCACATCGATTCCTCAAACTGAAAATGGCCATGGCGAAGTCATATTGTACAGCTTCGACGGCGGGATGTTCATGCGGTTTGCATGGATCTGACATTTGTGGCATCGCCAAACAAAGCCGATACAATCTTTCTCCATGGTGGACCAGTAGTAACCCTGTCTGAGGATTTTTCGGGCTAGCATCACCCCGTTCACATGTGCTCCGCATTCTCCTCCATGGATGGCCTCCATTAGGCGCTTCGACTCTTCAGCCTCAACACACGGCTTATGCATTCCCAGATGACCTCTTTTATACAGTTTTCCTCCACAGATGATGAATTGAGCAGCTATTCTTCAGATTGCCCTCTTGTCTTTGGCATTTGCCCCTGGTGGATACGTCTCTTTTTCCAAGAAGTTCCAGACATCGTAATACCAGGGGTTCTCATCTTGAACCTCATCTATGGCAGTAATCAACTCATAAGCCGGTACAAATTTCTGGTCAATAATGATTAGACGTATCCGGACTCTGAAAGGGATGTCTATCATGGAAGATAGAGTTGCTAGTGAATCTGCGAACCTGTTGTTCTCTCTTAGTAGATGAGCGAAGTTCAGCTTCTCAAACCAAGGAATCAGCAAGTCCAGGGTCTGATGGTAGAGTATCATTTTTTCTTCTTTGACTTTCCAATCTCCCTTCGCTTGGGATACAACAAGGTTCGAGTCCCCGATGACGTCCAACCGTTTTGCCCCTAGTTCTAGGGCTGCTTCTAAACCGACAATGTATGCCTCATATTCTGCTTCGTTGTTCGAGACTTTGAACCGAAGTTTAAATGCTAGAAGGATACGGGAATTGTCGAGTGCTATCAGCAACACCCCTATCCCATACCCGTACTGGTTTGACGCTCCGTCAAAGTACATCGTCCAGGTTTCATCCTCGATATACAAAATGGCCTCATCTGGGAATAAGTACTCAACTACTTCATCCCCTTCCACTAGGTGATCGGCTAGGAACTTCGCTACCGCTCTCCCCTTTACTGACTTGCGAGTCACATATTTCAGATTGAATTCGAAAAGTAGAAGCAACCAACGAGCTAGCCTACCCATAAGTGCTGGTTTCTCAAAGAGATATTTGATGAGATCTAATCTTGAAACTAACATTACAGAGTGAGCTAACAGGTAGTGTCGCAGCTTCCTGGTAACCCATACCAAGGCCAAGCAAGCCTTCTCGAGTGGAGTGTAGCGGGTCCTTTCCACCTTGTCCTCAGACTCTTGTGCGAGCATGCAGCCCATCGTAGTTTCAGTCACTGAAAGGTATAAAATCAACGGTTTCCCCAGCTCAGGCGGTGACAACACGGGTGGGTTCTGTAAGTATTCCTTGATCTGTTCAAAAGCAGCTTGGCATCGGCCGTCCCATTGGAAATTCTTTCCTTTCTTCAGGAGACCAAAAAGTGGTTCACAAGTCAAGGTTAATTTTGAGATAAACCGTCTTATAAATTGCACTTTACCCAGAAAGGCTCGCACCTCCTTTTTAGTCCTAGGTGGTGACATTTCTAAGATGGCCTTGATTTTGGAAGGGTCGACTTCAA